CTCGTAACTTGATTAATGTTGGCACTGAGTGGTACTACTGTAGTTTCACAGTAACTACTGGGCTTTTTTTTTTACTTCAACCATTTTATAACACATTCCCCCATGTGTGGCTCCTGAACGCACGCTCTCTCTCTCTCTCTCGCCCATACAAGGACTCTGCTCTTTGGACTGAATTTTACCGAACTGCGAGATTTATTGTAGGTGGGTATGTCAAATTTCTTGATTTGGTACCAAAAATGGAATTGTAACCGAAATTCATTTCCTTCTTTTCCTTTACTGGTTTGTTACTCTTTCAAATCCCATGTTTTGCTTTGTAATCTACGGTGTGTGAATTCGTTGCTTTGATTGGCTATAATAAGAAACTTTACTTTGATGTGGATAAATCAATTTTTCTGGAAAAGGGTTGGGCTTGGATTGTGAAGATTTATGACATCTCTGTTTCCTCTTTTGAAATTCTTGGTGTTGTGGGTCATGATCCGGAAATGAAAGGGTTGGTCTTTTTTTTTTTTTAAATGGTTCTCATTGAGAGTGTCGGTGTTTATGTTCTCTCCATATGAACATGCAGTTGGTATCCGATATTTCAATTTGGGAATTTAGAAAGGATTTAGGATTTTGTTTCTCTGTTAAATTGTTCGGCTTTCACATTTTGGAAGTGGGATCTGTCTGCTTCTTGGAGTGTTGCTGAATACCAAAAGATCGCCAAGTTTATAGGCCAGTCAGTGGTTAAATTTCAAGTCCTGGTGATCGAAGAGAGGAGCATTGATGTGGGTTTTTGATGTAGAGATACCTCTTAATTTAGTAAATCAGTGCTCTTTGGGTGTGTTTTTTGGTTAAGTGAGAATTTTATGTTTTACCGGTAGTAGAATTTTAATAGGCAAAAAAGTCTCCTTCCTAAAAAGGTGATTTATGGTGGTTTTATCTTTTATATAATAGGAGTCTTTTTCTTGGCGAGGCCCCCACGCATGAATGTCTCCTATAAATAAAAAGAACGCTAGAGTTAGAGTTAGTAGGACTGGTCTTGAAAGTTGTTTATACATTTGATTCTGAAAGATTTCATGCTTAAAGGGGATGGTGAGAAGTTAAGAGAATATAAAATCTTTTCTAGGGTTTCCAATCACACATTAGATTTCCGCTCACCCATCTGATTGAAATTTGTGATTAACCATGGCAGCCTTCATTCCTTATTGATATAATATACATCTTGATAGTTGTTTACTTGAGTATTTTTCATAGCTCATTTTGTTTAGGTCTTTGGTATTTTTGATGATGTTTTCAAGATTCAACTCTCAGCCTAAAATGGAAGGAGAATATTACCTGAGGCAGATAAATTTTTGTCGAACGATTCAAAGGCTGTCAATGAAATCTGTATTTCGATTTTTTTTCATATATAATGATATATCCTCCCTTCCAATTATCACGATTATAGGCGATGAAGAATCTTGAGATATTAATTATGTTAATGCAGTTGTTTCCTTCAGTTCGTTTTCTCAACCGAAATGTATAACTGTACTGATCTTTTCACTTTTCCTAACAGATTGTGGAGTGGGATCACCCTGAAAGTTGAGAGAAAGGATCACAAGGATGCTGATCCCAGTATAATATAGATCCTTTGTCAGAAAGAAGGCTTCCTGAGTTGCTGCTACAGAAAGCAAAATGCATCAATAGCCTGGCATATCTGAGGCAACTAAGTATTTGATAAAGCTGGGCAGACTGGTGAAGCAGATTGTCTTTTGATGCAAGCATCGCAGCACAGAGTTTCAGGCATGTCGAGTGGATCTTACTACCAGCCATTGCAAGAAGCTGAGGCCTATTGCTTTCCTCAATTCCAAACTTTAGATCACCGGCTATGCTACAGTGAGAACAACAGTCAAGGAGTCTATATGTCAGTTAAGAATTCTCATGAACAGTATTGCACCCTGGAATCATCTTCAGCCAATGGCAATTATTCTGTCTATAATTGCTCATCAACTGCTAGTTTTTCACCCAGTGGAAGCCCAACATCACAGCAGGAATCTCAGTCATATCCACCGGACCTGCATCGTTCTCCCGATAATACCTATGGTTCTCCTTTAAGTGGCTCCTGCGTAACTGATGATATGAATGACTTTAGGCACAAGCTGAGAGAACTGGAAACTGTGATGTTTGGACCAGATCCTGACATAATTGGTGGGATTGATAGTGGTCTCCTTAACAGAAACAGTGGAGGGTCACAAGAGATGAACATCTGGACATTAATAACTGAGGCAGTCTCAAGAGGAGACTTAAAACAGGTTCTCATTGCCTGTGCAAAAGCAGTCTCAGATAATGATCTCCTGATGGCACACTGGTTAATGGATCAGTTGCGCCAACTAGTGTCTGTCTCTGGTGAGCCCATCCAACGATTAGCAGCATATATGTTGGAAGGGCTTGTAGCGCGGTTGGCCTCCTCAGGGAGTTCAATTTATAAAGCTCTCAGGTGCAGGGAACCAGCCAGTTCTGAGCTCCTGTCTTACATGCACATTCTTTATGAAGTTTGCCCCTACTTCAAGTTTGGATACATGTCAGCAAATGGAGCAATTGCGGAAGCTATGAAGGATGAGAATAGAGTCCACATCATTGACTTTCAAATTGCTCAGGGGAGTCAGTGGATCACCCTTATCCAAGCTTTCGCCGCCAGACCTGGTGGACCACCCCACATCCGAATAACAGGCATCGATGATTCCACATCAGCATATGCCCGTGGAGGAGGTTTGGGAATTGTTGGAAAGAGGCTATCTAAGCTTGCCAAACAATTTAATGTGCCGTTTGAGTTCCATGGTGCTGAGATGTCTGGTTGCGAGGTTCAACTAAAAGATCTTGGTGTTCGGCCTGGGGAAGCTCTGGCTGTCAATTTTGCATTCATGCTGCACCACATGCCGGATGAGAGTGTGAGCACTGAAAATCATAGGGACCGGCTGCTGAGGCTGGTCAAGAGCCTATTTCCTAAGGTGGTGACCCTTGTTGAGCAGGAATCTAATACGAACACAGCTGCATTCTTTTTAAGGTTTCTTGAGACATTGAACTATTATACAGCCATGTTTGAATCAATTGATGTGACTCTTCCAAGGGAGCATAAGGAGCGGATCAATGTTGAGCAGCACTGCTTAGCAAGAGATGTTGTTAACATTATTGCATGCGAAGGGGCTGAGAGGGTTGAACGACATGAACTCCTTGGTAAGTGGAGGTCCCGGTTCACTATGGCAGGGTTTACTCAATATCCTTTAAGCACACTCGTCAATGCCACCATTAAAAAACTGCTTCAGAGCTACAGCGAGAAGTATAGGCTTGAAGAGCGAGATGGGGCATTGTATCTTGGCTGGATGAACAGAGATTTGGTTGCATCTTGTGCATGGAAATGAAGTGGATGCAAAAATTGGTCCAAGCTGAGGTTGCAACTAATGTAGGCTTCTCTGTTCTTCTGTTACCCACTTTTTTGGGACGTATTCTCAGCTAAGTACTTGTAAATCAAAGTTTGGCCATTTCATTTGAGAACGTTAATCGATTTGGTGATTTACCAGAATGCTTTGGTGCAAAATTTATTTTGATTCAAGTAACTGGGTCAGTTCGTGTTCCCCAAAAGATTTTTGTTATTGACTTCAAACTTCAAAAAAAGGGGCTAAAAGTGAATTTGGACAACGCATAATTTACCTTGTTATGTTTTGGTGCTGCAAATATTAACTTTGGCAAACAGATTCTGCCAAGCTCCAGCAAACACACGCACACAGATTTAGAAAAAACCAATAGCAACCGAGATAAGGACCGGTTATTTTAGGGACTGTGACTTATTTGATGATCCCATTTTCTTCTCTCAAAATTTGTTGAAGAAATTTTTTCAAAAACATTTAAACTTGAAAAAAAAAAAATTCACTAATTTATTGTTTATATTCTAATAGTTTCGCTCTTTAAGTACAAGCTTATCGTTTATACAGTGGTAGTTATTCTACATCAAAAATAGAGTTGAACCAAAAGGTCATAGGAAAATTAATCAGTAATTTTTTAACCCTTTGCTCCATAAGGAACAGGGTTAAGCAGGATCTATAACGAACCAACGAACACTCACCAGATTTCAGATTTAACAAGTAAACGAATAAGGTTTTTATCTAACAGGGATTGGAGGTCTAATCTTTCTTAAATAGAGCTCAATTTACAAGCCTCCCAAAAAGGGTTTATCCTAGTTTTACATGCCTCGCATTATATCTTGTCTCAGACACTGAAATGGCTTGACAACCAATTAGCATTAAGCAAATCACACAGCTACTGGCAAGACATTGAATTCAGAATATTTCTATAAATAACTAACTTAGATAGTTGCCATGTATTGGCTATTTCCAAGGAAACGAGGAAAAATCAATTACGGTCTACTCCTGTACCTTATTACACTCGTATGAGATTTTCACCTGCTACGAGGTTTTCATCCAACCCAATGTCAACTACTCAGAGCAGCTATACACTCTGCGATCATTTGCCTGTACTGATCTACATTACCTGTCACCATCGTTTATTAACCATAAATGACAATGAGCTTAGCTTTGGATAGGCTCGGCATTTGGTGTTTGATGTTGCTCGTCAAATTTTTCGGGATGGGGGAGTTATGCGACAACCAGTGCCACTATCTTTTGATTTATTTCCTGATTCAACAGAGGAGCCTGACTCTTTGTTGCTAGGTATTTTATGAACGTCTGAACCTGCTGTATTGTGAGTGACAGTACGAGCTGGAGGCTTATCATGGTCATGGTGTCCCTCGTAAGTGGTTGTAAGTAATTTTGGATCATGAGATGTCCTCTCAACATGCTTCTTAACTCGACATCCAGGACTTGAGCACCTGTAATAACTCCTATATGACACAATATTGGAGCATCAGTCAGCATAAACTTGATTATTTTGCAATAGAGGACGAAAGCATAACTCAATCATGGAACTCTGTAATTACTCATACATGAGAGTGCATGCGTTTGCCTATGGGTGTGTATATGCAGGTCAAGACATCTCAATGATTTTAACAAGAGTAGCTCTTTGCTTAGAGTGCCCTGCCAAACATAATGCAACACTAAGTATGAAAATTGGCATATATACCTTGGATGTGGATTCCCTTTAACTAATTTCTGCCCGTACTTGCGCCAACGGTACCCATCATTGACAATATCAACCTCACTCCGAGTCTGAACAACAATGCGTGGTTCACTGCTTTGCTTTTCCACCGAAATTATTTCCATATTGTAATTATCCTTCTTCCTGTTTTACATTTGCAAGGCATTAAGCAAATATTGGTTCACAGTATCAAAATCTACAAGAAATTCAAATAGGTAATTAAAACTAACCGTCTTTTTAGGCCAGGATCATCACTAGTATCAGGCTCATCTCCCACCCTATTTGATCCTAATAAAACATCTTTCACATCATCTTTTGATGCAACCGCCGGAACTTGAAGATTACCTACCGGCCCCGTCTGATGAGGTGTGTCACCATGCGCATCGGATGATTTCTCTTCAAATAGCAGATCAGGAAATAAATAAAGCAATATATTAAATACTATTATAGATATCATGCTGAAGTTTTTTTCTTACCTTTGGCAACACTTGAAGCTATGTTTTGTCTCTCTTCAATTATGGAGACAACAAAGCCAACAGCTACAGGGGTACTATTAGGTTTTGGATGATCATGTTGACCAAAGTATACAGTATCGGTGATCCGCCCATCATGTGAACGCTCCAATTGCTTTTTCACGAGGCACTTTGGATGTGTACATTTGTAATAGCTCCTAATAAATTCATTTCCCCTAACAAGTTTCTGTCCATATTTACGCCAATTATACCCATCCTCAGAGCCCTTCTCACGAATGACCGGACTGATTCCTTCCGTATCAGATTGTACAGCGTGAGCTGTCCTATCAGGAGTTTTTGGTTCTTTCTTAGACTTAGAAGGAGGAACATGTCCTTCTGAATGTACTGCCCCTTGGTCAGGTTCTACTGATGCCTTCTCAGGTGTTATAGAGGGAATGTTTCCTTCCTGGTGATTCTCTGACACTGATATACTACCAGAGATCGGTTGCAATTCACGAGTTCCACCAACAGAGCTCACTCCATCTGGCAATTTATCAGAAGTCGCTTCATCTGTTGCAGCCTGCCCGGAAGAAGCCATTTGACCTATGATTTTCTATCAGTAGCAGAAGAATTCAGATGCACTCAGGGAATAACCAGTAAACTGAATAAATTCCCATGTACCTAGAAAGCCATAAAACATCGAAATAAAATAAGAAAGCAATAACAGAGAAAAAAGGCCACCAGACCACAAAAATTTTGTTCATTACATGACACTTAATTGTGATAAGATTAAATTTTTGGTAAAATTCATTTAACTGAGAGTGAAAGTGAGGCTCCAAGACAAAATAAAGATCCATTTAATGCTCAACTTTCTCTAGATCATTCATAGGATAAATAAGATCGATTCGGATCAAATTCTTTCCAAGCTTGGTTTTAGTAACAGCTTTCCATAAGCCAAGCTGCCCCAGTTTAAGGTATGGTTAAAGAAGTCAACCTGCTAGCTGGTCGATCTACTACACTTGAAAGACGATGAGCATCATTTTAAGTAATTCTAGAATAAACGAACATGTCTCCGGTTTCTTGAAATTTTGGCATCAAGATCCGCAGACCCATTGGTAATAATTAGAAAAGAACACAGCAGTAAGGACTATGTACTTCAATGGTACTTCTTCTCGCCTTTTCTCTTCGTTCGGGAGAGGCAAAAATTCGGGTTTCAAAGCGAGCAAATCCCAATTAATGCCATCCAAAACATGCCTGATCCCTTTGGTGGCAGTAAGGATGGTAGAAGGTTATCCATGCCATAAATAAACAAATTTTAACCTTTTAAAAAAAATTAACTCCCCGAAAATTTTAAATATTAATATAAACGAGAGGGGTGAGAGAAGTTAATACGATTTCAAATGATAAAGAAAAAATAAGCAAGCTATCCCCCAGGCCCCCGGATTTGTCTTAATTTTTTTAGAAAAGGAAAAAAGAAAACAGAAATACAGCTGAAATGAATAGCCAATTCCATTTCTGCCCAAGACAAACAGTACTACTAGATTCAAGTACAATTAGGGATTTACAAAACTAAGCTCTGAATTCCAAATTGCATCGTTTTCTTACAGTTTCCAGGGAAACAAACAAGGCAAGGCCAATAGGAGCATCGATTTCCACAAAATCACAACTTAAAAAAAGCAAAAGTACAATGAAGGAACA